GGTGCCGTTGGGCGGCGGCTCCTCCTGTCAGGCGTTCGGTGCTGGCAGGGCAGGCTTCTTTCCCGTCTCTCTGTCGGGTCATCTTGGGGTGGGTTCACTTGGACATAGTCAAAATGACTTCGTCCCTCAAGTGGGTTTCCCGCTTGTTTCCGGTTCCAAAACGGTACTGTGCGGATCTTCAGTTCATTTTGGACTTGTCCCATCAGAAGCGGTGATTCCTTGCCCTAACTTTCGAATAACTACATTGTCCCAGGTTCGGCTTCTTCTCAAGCCGGGTGCTTGGATGATTTATCTGGATCTCAAGGATACCTATTAGCACATTCCTATTCATCCAGGGGTTCAGGAATTAATTAGGTTTCATAATCGGGGCGTCAGGTTTACCACTTTCGTTGGCGTTCATTTGGCTTGAATCTGGAACCTCGCATATTCATGCATTTAACCAGGGTCGTAGTGACCCATCTTCATCTGCTAGGTATTCGGGTTCTGGCCTACCTCAACAATTGGTTGGTTTGGGCACCCAGGCGGTCTGCGTGTCTGCTCGCCAGGGAAGTGGTTCTTTCCCAGCTTGCTGGGTTCGGGATTCTGGTGAATTGGCGGAAGTTCCGTTTGGTTCCGTCCCAGGTTCAGACTTAGCTGGACCTTATTTGCGATTCTCGGACTGCATCCATTTTGCTTTGGCTGCAATCCCGTCATCTGCTTTTTTTCTTAGGGCGACTTGGGTCACTTGACGATTCCTTGAGCAGCTGTGTGGAAGCCTGAACGTCGTCTTGGTTTTCCCACTGTGGGGTTTAACTAATGAGGCTGTTCTGGTATCTAATGGGCAGCCCCTGAAATGAAATGAAAATGTCCATAGAGTTGGCAAGCAGGGGATGGAAGAACGGGGCGAGGTTGCAGAAATCTTGAGCAAGGATCTGGAGATGAGGTGAAGAGGGGAGATGAAAGATCGGTGGCCCAACCACCGCGGATTAGAACTTGAGTAGATGGAAGTAGAATTGAGTAGGGCGTCATTTGCAGTCCACGCAGAGGCCAGGAACGCAAGCAGCTGGCAGTTGATGGTAATTGAAGGTTGATTACTTCATTGGTTTACTTCTTTCTTGATGGTGGGAGCAAGCTCTGATCTTTGGTCTTTGTTTTCGGCTTGTCTTTCTTGGCGGTCCGACTTCGTGTTGACATTGCTGTGGGATCAATAGAGTCATAAAGAAAATCGGCAGATGAATAGTTGTATTTCTGTGAAGGTGGAGATGTCGTTCCCACAGAGACATCCTCATCTGATGAGTCAGATGAGTACATACCAGGAGATGTGGGGTCTTGGAAGTAATGTTCCTGATGGTTTAGTAGCAGCAGTAGGACTTATTGCAGATGTAGAAGGTTCAGTTGATGTATGTACTGTGGGTGGAGATGTAACAGGAGATGGTGGATGAGAAGTCGTCGGCTTCTGGGTTGCTACCATGCCAGGAGCAGATGTTGCAGCTGCAGTAGGTTCAGTATCGTTCACAGCAATGTCCGAGGCCGGACCAGGAGCTGGAGCATCATCCGACAATGGGTTTGAAGGGTCGGGTTTGGTATGAAGAGGTGCTGGGTGACTCTGCTGGGTTGAAGGTTCATTGCCCGTTCGTTCTTGAATTTCTTTCTTTATCATAGCGGCGTGTTTCGGATATTTCACGTAGTATTGAGGGTCAATAATGGCAGGGTGGAGCATGGTAACATCAGTGCAGTAACGAACTGTGTCAGCATCAACGTACCAAAACTCTCTGCGGGTTCCGTCATCGTTCAGTCCGTTTTCGTAGTCGATGTTCCACTCCCGAGCTGCGACACGTTTCTGAGAAATATTAAATTTCAGGTCTGTAGGGCAATTGTAAGACGCATAAAAACGCAGCCCCTTTCGCCGCTCTTGTAATCACTGGGTTTGGCCTCCTGTATCCTTGCGTCGGTTGCTCCGTCTCTGGCTTCCTCTTCGGGTTTTTCGGGGTTCGGTGCCAATAGCATCTTCCCCTTCCCTTGCTCGATGTGTTCACGAACACCTCGTCTCTCGGCTTGAGTTTTGTGACCAGCGCTCATCAGGCCGGCCAGGGGCGTTGGGCTCCATCCTACTTTTGGGCTCACAGCACAGTGCAGGCGTTTGCTGCTGTTTGGCAGGTGGTGCAATGGATTCGGTTACCTCAGGGTTCAGTGATTCAGCTCCATTCGGACTGCTCTCCTGTGGTTCATTGTCTCAGTCGGGGGTAAAGGTGTCCCTGCAGTCCGTGGCTCTTTGGGGCTGGTCATTTCGGGTGGCTTTGCTGAGTTGTCAGGATATTGCTCTCCGTGAAGTTCACATTCAAGGGGGGGTATCCATCATCCTGGAAGCCGGCCTGTCTTGCTTCACTCCTCTTTCCACAGTGTGGACGGTTAATGCCACCACCTTTCTTTGGCTTTGTTGGATGTTCGGACACCCCGGAGGTGGATTTCTTCGCATCAGCTTAGTCCAAGCACCTCCCAATATAAGTGGCGCCATTCCCTGACTGGGAGGCCTTTGCGGTAGATGCCTTCTGGTAGGACTGGTCGAGGTGGGGGGTTCCTGTACTTCATCTCCCGGTCTAGCTGTTGCTTCAAGTTCTGGCTTGGCAGGAATCCTATCGAGGGAGAGTGGTTCTTCTGGCCTCATGGTGGTCGACCCAGTCTTGGTTTTAGGCGCTGCTTGCTCGGTGTCCAAACCCGAACGTTTTTACACGGCTCCGCCTCTTTCAGCAGGTCAAGCTGGTGAGATGCCTCGCTGGTTTGGCTTATTCTTTCGTGCTTCGTGTCTGGTTTTTCTGACACAGGTGTATTGCCATTTGTATGGTAATCAAGTGACTTCTTTGATGGTTTCCCACCTAGGGTCCTCTTCTCAACGACAGGATGAGACGGCTGAGTCTCATGAGCTGAGGGGCCTGACGTCTGAGTGGACAGCGCTCGTGATTCGTAGTCCTAAGGTTCCGAGTTCGATCCCCGGCAGAGGCGGAAACAAATGGGCTGAGTTTCTTTCAGCCTGATGAACCTGTTCACCTAGCAGTAAATATGTACCTGGGAGTTAGACAGCTGTTATGGGCTGCTTCTTGGGGATGTGTAACAAAAGGAGGCCTGGTCAAGGATCGGGCTGCGGGAGGTGCTAAGCCCCATAAGCCTAAGATGCTAAGCCCCATAAGCCTAAGATGCTAAGCCCTAAGCCTAAGATGCTCAGGCTAAGACTCCGGCCTCAGCCCCCTAGGCCATGGGGACGCTAAGACGCTTAGCTAAGCAGCTCAAGATAACCTCAAGTATGATGTATCATGGAAGTCGTTCCCCCACTTCCTTTCCCTTCGTAGGGTTTCGTCGGTGTCTGTTCCGGTTATTTTGTATTTTCTTTCTGGCTTTTTCGTGACTGGCATCTCATGCCGAATGTTATCTCTTCTTATCATGCGGTGCTGGAGGAGCAGCTCCAGCTTGCATTTGGGGTGGATGTCACTTTCGCGCCATTCCGCAAGCGCTCTTGTTTCTCTCTTCTCGGTTTGTTGTGGCCCCTTTGGTCCAGGATTGTTTTCTAAAGGCCTTGTTCTTGTTGGCTTTAGCCTGTGGGGGTCAGGTTGGGGAGCTTCATGCTCTTCTCCGGTGCAGGGGTTTCTGCTCTTTTGGTGTGGGAGGTTGTTTTGTTCGTTTGCAGCCCTCGCCTTCTTTTCTGGCAAAGAATGAGACAGCTGGTTTCCGGAGGGGGTTCGTGGGTTGCTGATGTTTGGTTGGTTAGGCCGGGTGCATCGTGTTTTGTATCCAGTTGCGGCTGTACGTTGCTACCTGCGCGACATTGGTTCTTCGACAGTAGATGCGCTCTGGGTGGATCCAGTTTCCATGGTTCCCTGTTCAGGGCTCGTGTATCAGGTTGTCTGCAGGGTTATCAAGTCTAGCCAGCCTATGGTCTATCCTTGTGCCCATGATGTGAGGAAATATGCTGCTCTCACTGCTGTGTTTGGGAATATGTCTTGGGTCGACATTCGGTCACGGGCTTTGGAAATCTAACAGGATCCTGGCCGCGAGATATCTTGTCAGTGTTCCAGGCCCTTTAAGTCCTCATGTTGCTGTGGGACGTCTGTCATGGCCTGTTGTCTTTTCTTCATCATGAGACCTGCGGTGCTGCCGCCTCCTGGGTAAATCCTCGTTTTTGCTTAACTGTGAGTATTTAGCTTCAGGAAGCCAACTGGGCTTCCCACAGTAAACAAGCGTTGAATGTAATGAAACGCCATTTTCTAGGCGAGCCCTGGAGTCTTCCTAACACACTCCCTCCCTCCTGACACCATCCCTTCCTCCTGACACCATCCCTTCCTCCGGTCGGCAATTTTTTTCGTCATTCTACGAACTGAGGAGTATAGCGGCTGACTCGCCTGATCGGGCTTCCCCTCCTCCATGTTGGGGGAAGAGGGGGGGCTAGCGAACAGACGCGCTAGATGGATGACAATTTGATTGTTCCATTGATTTCTTTTGGGGGAAGTTCTTTGGCTCTGTTCAGACATAGGTTGCACTTTTAACCAGTTGGGGTTTGCATTGTTTCATCTACCTTTCTGGTGGTATCCACGGGGGATGGCAGAGATGACATATTCTAAATGCAGAAGGCTCATAATGGCTATTGCTCCCTGCACCCCTCTTGAGGGTAGCAGGTTCTGGCACTGGTCTCCGGTAAGCACTAGAACATCCGGGACTGATGGCACCAAACTAATATGGCACATGTCAGTAGGATAGCTTCAGGGAGCCTCCAGGGCTCACCCAGAAAATGGCATTTCATTACATTCAACACTGGTCTTTTTATTCCTACTATATTGCAACAATTTTTTCCATGTTTCAAAATTTTTTAATATCAATATTTGATAAAAATTTTAACTGCTATTGATGTCTTAAAATAATTGTAGCCAAGAGAGCAGTGTAGTGAAACCCTGATCTTATCCTGACACTTAGTGTTGGCTAATAACAAATGCTATGCTTGCTTTGCTCCCTGTGGTGGCATCTGGCTATACCAGATCAGGGTCATGCCCAGGCACTCTGGTAGGTGGGGGTACAGGTGGTGTCTTGGTAACAAGCTTAGGCTTTGGTCCTAACTCTCGCCTTCGTGCTGCTGGGGGATCCTGCCGTGTTCGATCTCGTGATCGACCTAATCTCATCCTCTCCAATCTCATGTTACGGGGAAGGTAAGTTAGGTCTTGGTGTTAAGGATTCTGTTTACTACAAATACTTATCAGCTTTTGGTAATTGTATTAACATCTCTTAGCAGTTTGTAATAATTTTAGATCCTCTCTAAATCTTTCTTTCTCATTCAAGCTATCAAAGTTTTCTCAGCAATATCACCAGTGTTGTATTTATAAGATATGGCATGTTGTAATGACTGATTTAAAATGTTCTAAGCATGATGCATGATAATTATTGCATTGAGGAAAATCTATATACTCACTAAGTCATCATTTTATGTATCAAGTGTCTTGACAACTTAGTTCTTTTTATGAGCACTTCACTGTGAAAATACTTCATCTTTCAGTTTAATTTGTTAACATTATGTGCCAGAACTGTATAATTCCAGTGCAATAATGAGGCAGTAAATTACCTGAAACCAATTAGTGATCCTTTCTGGGAGGGCTACTGTGGTGACTCCTTGTTACTTGTTACCTAGCAAACTCCACCCAATTCAATCCAAACCAAGTCCTTGCAAATCATATGTAAACCTACCATGGGACCAACAGGCCAAGACCTGGCCCTCTCTAAAATTATTAAAAAAGCAGGTGAATTTAAATCACCCTAAGAAAGAATTATCAGAAAGGGGAAATAGTCAGTCCAGACAACAGCAAGGTAAACTGGAAAACAGGACAGCTAAGACCCTCAACTTTTAAACCACTCGGTGGTCAAGCAACTCTAACATTAGTTCCATCAGCATACCTTTTTTTATGAACCACTAACCTTACCACCTCAGTGATATTGCAAGGCATGAATTTTTAAAAGAGTTCATTCTTATGCACCTCTTCCCGCTACAGTGCCCTTCGGGTCCTGGTTTTTCAGATAAGTGTTGACATCCTGTTCTTTTTTTTTGGCTCCCTGGAGCTATACCGGGCTGATGTGCATATATTTTAGACCGTGGCAGTAGTAAGTTGATGGAGTTCTAGGCCTACCAGGGACCAGAGCCAAAAACTGGCCCCCCTCCAGAGAGGAACGAGGAGAAATAGCCTATAGCTACCCCACGTGTAATTGGAAGCAGTCTATGTCTGCCATCTACCAGATTAGACACCCAGAAAGGTAGGAATTACAAAACAGACTACAGCTGGTAAAAAATTGCAAACCGAAAGCCGAACTAGCAAGCAGAACTCCCCAATCGAAAACAAGCAAACAAGCATGACGGCTGTGGTGGCTGTGGCCACTACAGCTGTTGCACCGCCTGCCTGCGCAACTCTCCCCTCCCCAGGAGCGGGAAGGGGGGCATCCCAGACCTCTGCGCTAGCTATCCATCCTCAGTTAACACTTTCATCTGGCGGCAACGCAGTCTGCATTAATAAATAAATTGACAGATGTCCACTGGTGATGCATGTTGCGTCAAAATTTTTAATATTTGTTCAAATTATATTTTCTGTGGGGAGCCCCGTCGGCTCCCTGGAGCTATCCAGGCCGATATGCTAATGTCAGACTTCAGCATCAGTCATGTGTATGGGGTTCTGTGGGCCTACCGGGGACCACGAGCCAAAACCTGGCCCTCTCAGAGAGGCATGGGAAGCAATGGCCTATAGAAACCGACGTGTGGTTGGAAGCATTCTATGTCTACCATCGACCGGGTTAGGTACCCAGAAAGGTAAGCATTCCGAAACAAACCCCTATTCTTGTGAAAATTGCTACAAAAAGCCGAACAAGTGAATAGAAGTCCCCAAACAGAAATGAGCAAACGAGTGTGATGTCACACGTTGCCGCGCCGCCGTCTGCATGGAAGGGGGAGCCCCAGACCCCTGTGCCGGCCATCCACCCAGGTTCTGAGGGACGGTCGTGTGCTCTGGCTCCAGTGGTTGTTTTAGCACTGTGTCTTGTGTGTGGTGACTGTCTTTTAGTTGGTGCATGAGCCAGGAGTGATTTTCCAGTACTCAGGCTGCTTGCGCCTAGGGTTTCCTTCCCTAGGTGCCCAGTAAGTACCCTTGCCCCTTGGGGCTTGGGGGCCACCTTCCACAAGTTCCTTGGGTTCTGCCTCTGCTAGGCTGTTTACTGCTTGGTTTTCGGCTGCCCTTTGTGTGCCAGGTGAACTGTCTTCCTTGTTCGCCTTAGGGTAGGGGGCATTTTGCACTGGTAGGGGCGCAGGTTACTGCACAACTTGTTTTCACCAATCATAGCGACCGACTCTGTGCCGCTTGGGTTCCGTGTCCTCTTGCTGGGTTTTCTTTTTCTTTTTGTTTGCCTGCCTGATGGGGGGGGGGTCAGGGGTCTGCCTTGGTTATTGCCCCCTGTGTATTGAGTACTTTTCTTTCTTCTGGTGGTTCCCCCTGCTATGTCCCCTTGAGTGTTCACATCCTGGGGGGTTCTTAGAAAGTTGTTTGGTAGACTTGGGCGCCAGTTAGCAGTACCTTGCCGGGCTTTCCTGAGCGTAAGTTCCGTCGCAGGACCCTGGTAATCCTCACGGGGACGCGTGGGTCCGATGGATGTGTCCTCTGATTCCCCCCTCACTTTGTACAAGTTTGAGGGTTGCTCTGTACCCTTGTCTCAGGGGTGACTCTCACTGTTTTTGCCTCCGTCTGCTGCCTGTTGGGTCGGTGGCACCTTCGACCCGGAGTCCTGCAAGTTTTGTTGCTTGTTTGTGACTCAGTTACCCAGTCTTATGCTGACTATGCGGGTGCAGGCAGTACGGGCGTTGCACGTTGAGTTCAGGTGGTTGCAATGCGCTAGGTTGTTTGCTCCAAGAAAGCCCCGACCGAGGCTGGCCCGTTTTGGTTGTTGTAACGGGGCTTGGGGGTGGTGGTTGCTTCGGTTTTGTTTCTGTCTGTGTCCCCTTGTCTTTTCCCTGTTATGGTTCAGTCTGGTCCCCCCCACCCTTCCTTCCTGCATCCAGATCCTTACCGTCTGTGGGTTCGGGGTCGGGGCGGGGCTTCAATGGTCTTGAGACTCAGGCGATCTCGGGGATTTCCTCTTCCGGGGTAGTGATGGAGGTATTCCAGCCTGTTCCTCCAGCCGTGTTGTATGAGTCTGCCAGTGGGCTCCTTTCCTTAGTAATTTTCTGGCTGTCCCGTCTTTTTCATGTGGGGCTGTGGCTTTCGGGGGGACAGCTCGGCCCCGAGGCCGGAGAGGGGCTGACATGGGGTGCCTTGGACCCCGTCGGACTCCGCCGGGGTTTTCTACCCTCTGAGCGGGGCTTGCGGTTACGGGGAGTGGGGGTTTTCCTTTCCCCCCTTTGCGTTTGAGTTGTTGGGCGTCGGCCCTTCCCCGGGTTCATATTCTTGTCTCTTCGGGTCCATTCAGTTCCGTCCTGTTGGTGGGAACTCTTCTCCTTTAACTCACCCTTCTTCTCTGGGACGGGACTTCTCCCGTCATGTCGGGGTCATGTTCTCCAATTATTGGGGTTTTACATGACTTTTGGTCTCGGGTGCGACTGTGCCTTTATGAGCTTTCGTGGATTTGTTCTTGCTTCTGTAGGTTCTCGAAGGTTTGGGAAGGTCTTCACTTCTTCCCGTGTTGTTGGAACGTCTGTCGTCTTCCAGTGAGGCTTACCTCCAGTCCTTTCTAGGGCTCGTTGGGACTCTTCCGTGCTTCTTCTTGGTTTTCGATACTGTCTCGTTCTTTTGTGATTATATCTTCTCTCTGTGGTCTGTCTCGGCACTGCTCATTTTCCTTACATACTCCTAGTTGGCACCTTCCCCGCCAGGCGGGTTGTGCGGTTCGGACCATATGCATCCTGCGCATGCGCTGTGGGAGTTTTTGTTATGGATGGTGTACACAAGTGCTGGGGTTCCGCATCCTTTTTCTCTTGAGTTCTTCGCCTCTCACTCCTCTCATCTCTCCAGTCTGTGCCCCGTAGATACTGGGGGTGTTCTGGGTTCCTGACATGGGGAGGACACCTGGTTTTCTCTGCATACGGGTGTGAGGTGCAGCATTCACCTCAACCCTACTCTTCTCCTGCATGTGTGGCTCTGACCTTCTACTGGCGGTGCTCCCGGAATCTTCTCGGCTGTGGTGTGTCATGACACGTTTGTGCCTATGCTCTGCAGGTGAGTTTATGCGGTCTGGCGTCTCTTTCGGCTTTTGGCTGGTTCGTGGTTTTTGGATAAAAACATAAGAACAAGGGTAACTTCAGAGGGCCTATTGGCCCATACGAGACAGCTCCTATTTTAACCGTCCCAACCCCACTCGTATACAAGTCCTACCCATGCTTGAATCAATCACAGCACCTCACCTCCACAAGGTAACATTTTGATGCGGTTTTGGTACAGTGGATGTGTGTTGGGGATTGGTTGTGGCGTTTTGTTAGGCCCTTGTGTGCTTCTTCCTGGGGCCTTCCTTGTTCGTCTGTGTTCTTTGTTACATGGAGGGGCACGGCCCAATTTTTTTGTGGTCTTATCATAGTCATTCATTCCTTTCCCGTCTTGCAGTGCATGGCTTTGCCCTTCCATATGCATTGAATTCTCTGTACTCACCTAGTTGTCCTCATCTAGTTTTGCTTGTGGGGGGTTGAGCTTTGGCTCTTTGGTGCCGCCTCTCACCTGTCTTTACCGGACATTTGCATGACCTCTGTGTGTTGTTTGTGATGTCCCTTTCGTTCCCGTTTGCTGCCTGTCTTCCTCATTCTTCATCTTCCTTCTACAATCTTGTTCCTAGCCGCTGGTGTTGGGGATCGTTTTCTTGCGATTTTCCGTTTTTTCCTCATTCTCCTACATATTGTTGTGTGTTTTGTATGTGCCTCTTGGCTTTCCTACTGCTAGGTTGGACTTTGTCCCTGTTTAGTTCCCTGCTTTTGCACCACCTCTGTGTTGGTTCTTTTCCGGCTTGCCAGGTTTGGGTTCCTGGTTTCCTGGCTTACCCTACCGTTTGGTATTTTCGAGGTCTCCTTCTCTCTAGTCTCGCATCGGAACCACAGTGTTTTCGATCTCCTGGTGAGCTCGCTGGCATTCGGTAGTTCTCTGTATGGTGGACGTTCCATCTCATTCCTTGTCGGCTTGGGTTTCCGGCTGTGCTTGCT